ACTCCAACAGAGCAATGGGATGGGGCTGCTGTTCCTCTCCAGCAAGCAGCCCTTGGCTATGAGGAGACCTGCTCGGGCTTTCAGCTGGAGAGCTGGCTGCTTCCTTGCCCCTGGTGGCTCCGTTAAAGGTTATTCTGGTCCCTTAATCAAATTCAATATAGCTTTGTTTTCCTCTGCCCTCCAGGAGTCCGCTGAGGTTTGCTGTCAGAGCCTGCTGCAGGAGAACAGCATGGCTGCTAATGCGGCAATCGACTCCGCTTTAGCGAGGAGAGAAACGTAAAGCTTCGGGCATGGGAGGCAGCAGGGGCACGTGAAAACTGGAAAAGTTTACAGCAGGGGATGGGAAACAAGCAGGGCTGGTAAGGGTGCTGCGTCCTGGGTGGGCAGCGTGCCCTCCCCTGAGGGGAGTGAGCTGCTGCGGAGAGACGAGAGAAGGGTGGAAGCAATACAGCAAACCTCGCTCCTGCTCCTGGGTGCTAAATAGAACAGATTCTGCCCCCTTCTAATTACAGTGTATCCTGGAAGGCATTCACTGCTCCAGGTCACTCCTCTTGAAGTGTTTATTGCGTGTCTTGCCCAGCAGGGTTTTGGGTGAGAGCGGAAGCTATGTGATTTACCCAGAGAATGGCTGCGTGCCTGGGCCACAGGAGAACAGAGCGGGTACCCGCCCCTGCCTGGTACAGGCAAAACGTTTCACTGTCTCCCAGCGTTAAAAAGCCTAAGTCAGCAAATAAGCTTATATAAAGCTTTTTGGAGGCTCTGAAGTAAATTCACGTATGCTGGAACAAGGGAGAGGTTAAATCTTTCCTTGTGCCTAAGGCAGGAGGGGCCGGGCAGGGGGGGGGAAATTCTCACGCTTTCCTCTTTCAGGGGGACTCGATGCCAGAAGGCTGCCCAGCGTCACAGGAGACGGGGTTAAATGGCACGGTGTGGCACGAGGCTGCGGTGTCACCCAGTCTCTGCCCCAGAGAGCCAGCGGTCGAGGTAAAGGGACAGAGTCGGAGAGTCGGGTTCTTCCTTCTGGCCTAAGACTGGCACAGCTCACTTTCCCTTGTCTGGCCAAACGTCAGTGTGCGAAGGAAGCGGGGTTAAACCCTTCTGCTGGTAGCAGTGACATCTTGCATTTTCTAACATCTGACTGCTTATTTGTTTTGCTTATTGTTTACTTTCTTGCTCTGCTGAGCAAGGGCAATAGATCACTTTCACCTTTCTAGGTGGATTCAGTTTTGCTGTATTTAGAAGAATAAAACATGTCACCAGCATATTTCAAGTTTGTGTTGCTTTGTGTTTTTAACTAGAGTTTCAAAATAAGTTATGTTTCTGTTGAGACTAGACTTTGTGGTTAATTTGTTCTTAATTACCAAATGCTAAGCACTGAATTCTTTCCCTTAGCTATCACCTCACTCTACCTCTGTAGTATTTGTTTGCAAGTATTGTGGAACAAAATGTGGCCCTTTTACACCGAACTCGGGAAGCTGGCTGAATTTCCTGAAGACAAAAGCTGTTATGGTAACTTACAGGGGGAGATGGCAGAAGGATTTTCAGTTTTGCCAGCCTAAAATACATGCTTGCTTTCTGATTCTGCCTAACAGATGTAACTGTGAAATTGAACAATTTTGGGGAAGAACAGAAAAGCACAGATAATGGTAATACTGAGAAAAATTTCTGAACAGCTTTGAAGTAGCTATAAAAAAGCATTTAGTGCAATTGTAAAGCCGCTTTTACCAGTGCTCTGAGCATCGTTGGAGAACATACACCAGGTAGGGATGCTGGAGGAGATCAAATGAGAAATGATAAGCCTGTAAAGCTGTCAATACCTCAGAAGAGAGCTGAGCCAGCCATACCTTTTCCAGGGAGCATAAAATGAAGACACAAGGGCTGTGCTGGGTTTAACTTCACGCTGTTTCTGAAGAGAACTGGTGTTGCCCGTCTCTGCTGGCTGTTTTCTGCTCTGCTGGCAGCGCTGCCCTGGCTGATCGATGTTGCCACTAATTTTATTTAATTTTGTTGCCTAGGATGTGTCTTCTCTTTTCATACTCTCCCTTTGTTGCTCAGTCTGTGGCCAACATATAATGTCAAAATAAATCCAGGGAGCTCCACAAGCCACATAGAAAGTGTGCACGCTGCCGTGCCCACGTGGTTTCCTTCCCTCTGAGTCGAGGCTGTGTAATAGATGAGGGTGCTTTTTGCACTTTCTTTGGTGTGATTAGGCTGCTTCAGACACTGGATTCAGTTTCTAAGATTGGGAGCTGGATGTGGCAGGGTCAGGAGATCTGAAAGGCTTTTAGTTACCCGCTTGCAGTAAGCCACCTGCATGCTAAGACAGCCAAATTACCAGTAGCAAAGTGAAAAATGACAAGAGCATTCATTAAATGCCATGCCTGGACTAGAATCTGAGAGCACTGAAGTGTTTTTATCTCATCTAATGGGCAAGTGACAGCTCGGTGGTTCCTGCTGCATTTCCTGCTCGGTGGGGGCTGGGGGTGCATTGATTCTGGGACAAAAAGGACTTTCAGAGCACTGCAAGGACGTGGTCCAAAAGAAGCCAAAAGCGGGTACTTTGGTCCCAGCCTGTCGGCTTT